AACCAAAAATTATTGTGTTGAATAATAATGTAATAAATATGTTGGTATGTTTTTGTTCCCACAGAGGTGGTACCCGGTAACATAAGGAACGCAGAGCACTTCCTCAGCTTTCTGAAACGCTTCATAGAGTATTTGAAAACTAGGCTAAGGATACAACATGTCGTGCAAGAATCTCCCGCCGGTGAGTACCATGCTTTACTATAATTGCTACTTTAATACAATAATATATAAGAGTAGGGTTGCTGGTTGTGAAATTAAAGCCCCAGTGTTCTTGATGATTATTTTTTATTGGCAACTTCACTGTTACATAAATCAATACATAGTATAAAACAAAGTCGCTTTCGCTGTATGTCCGTATGTATGCTTAGATCTTTAAAACTACGCAACGGATTTTGATGCGGTTTTTTTTAATAGATAGAGTGATTCTTAAGGAAGGTTTGTATGTATATATATATTTCACCCGTGCGAAGCCGGGGCGGGTCGCTAGTTTACTATAAACTAATCAAGATAGTTGCAATCCTAAGTGGAGGGATGATAGGCACTGCGTGGCTTTAGTCTTTCAGACCTTCCCTAGTTGGCTAATTCCAGAATACCGCTAGGCTATCGAACTGGAGTTTGTCGTACTTAGGTCCAGAGTAGGCTACTAGACCTAACCTAACTCTGATCCTCTAGCTAGTAGAATGATGATTTGTTCGAAAACAACTTTGTTGGTTTGTATGTGTGCTCAATCTTCATAATAGTTGTTTGTAATTGTTTTGGATAAATTATACTAGATGGCGCTGTGTGTTCAAACAGAAGGTACTTTAAATAAAAATTAGGAAGAAAGTTTCTATGACATAGAGGCAGTGTGTAAACACAATGTAACACTCACTCACTTATTAGCAGTTATTATTCTCATGTAATAAAATCAAACTTATTGCTATATACTAGACAACATTCGAGAATAATGATAATACCCAATTTTAAGCTGCACTTAAATATCGTGCCATCTCTGTCATTTTATAAGGAATTTGTAGGGACAGAACTATCAGTCCATTGAGCCTCCGGTAACCTCACTTACACGACGAAACACAACACAAGTGTTGGTTCACGTCGGCAGCAAGCATGGGTCTCCCACACTTGGATTGGCTCTCCTACACTTTATTAGTAATGCAATAAATAGTAATTTTCATTCTCTCCAATTCCAGGGTTCCTAAAAGACGTACAAGCGCGAGTGTGTATAGAGCGCAAACCGCTACGTTTCTGTGCTACGCGGTTGTCGTCCCTGATGAAGACGTTGGAGATACCGGACCCCTCAAACTTCGCGTCCCTCACTCTCATCACACACCTGGCTACTCTCGTCTCCACTTATACGAAGGGGTTCACTATCATCATAGAACCCTTTGATGATAAAACCCCCACGGTTTCCAACCCTATTTTGCATTTTTCGTAAGTATATTATTTAAGGGACATCTAAATTCGTTAGGGTTGTTTTATTTAATTGCATGTTTGGCGCGGTGGTTGGCCAATTGGCTGCCGCGCAACGCGTCGCGGGTTCGATTCCCGCCTGGAACAACTATTTGTGTGATCCACAGAGGCACAGATTGTTGTTCCGGGTCTGGGTGTCATACAACAGCGTATAAATATTTGAAACTCAAAACAGATGAATGTTCCCTGTTTTCTTTTTCTAACGATTATTTAATTAACTTGCAAGTCACATAATTTAAGGGAGTATAAAATATCATTTTTTTATTTATTTTTTTCAGGTGCATGGATTCATCAATAGCCATGCGGCCAGTATTTGCCAGATTTCAATCGGTTATTATAACATCAGGTGAGATACAAATGAGTTATTTATACATCACTTTTAAATAAATAATTCCATTTTGTCCTACTCGAATTTCTTCAATAGATTTCCAACCTCATTGCTAAACAGTAAAGTTAAAAATCAATTAAATAAGTTTCAGATTGGATTAGATTATAGCATTTATACATTAATCCATTATTTTTTGTTCGTACAGGGACCTTATCACCGTTGGACATGTACCCAAAGATCCTGGACTTCAACCCAATCATAATGAGCTCTTTCACTATGACTCTAGCCAGGCCTTGTATATTACCTATGGTGAGTCAACCATTTATTGTATACACTAATATATAACGTGTTTCTTAGGGCATTTTAAAAAGAGTGTTATTAGAGAAATATATGGTTTGAAAGATGATGTAGTGACAAGGATTGAAAAGGGAATGTTACGCTGGTTTGGACATGTAGAAAGGATGGATGAAAGTAGAGTAACGAAAGTAGGTAGTATACAGAGCGGATATGAATAGGTAGGTAGCCGTAGGTAGAGGGCGCCCTAGGCAGATATATACTGACCAGATTGGCGATACATTAAAGAAGGGCCAAATTAAAAGGCCCTTAACCGACGAGCATGCATGAAAATATTGATGACTGTTGATGAAACGAAAGAGGTATATAGGAATCGTAGCAATTGGCTTTCCATAGTCTCTGCATACCCACATGGGAGACATGCGCGAAGTTATGGTATGTATGTTTTATGCTTTATTTTCTACTATATAACACTAAAATAAATATTATGATATTGACACAAGTGATATCAATTCGTATTGTTTTCAGATTGTATCAAAAGGCAGTGATCAAGTAGCGATATCGTCTAAATATGAAACGAGAGAAGACGTAGCTGTGATTAGAAATTATGGACAGTTACTTGTAGAGGTGAGTTTATATCATAATATGAAACTATTCTTCATTAAGCCAACTATTATTAATTAACTTTATAAAAAAAATGGAGGATGTTCTCAATTCATTTCTCAAAACTTGACATCATATTTTTCTTTACGACGTTGCCTAAGTATATCGTCTCAACAGTCACTGTACGCTATAGATTAACGTATGCATTTTAATCGATTCAATTTGTAGATTTCAGCGTCAGTACCTGATGGTGTAGTATGTTTCTTCACATCGTATTTATATTTGGAAAGCGTGGTCGGGGCGTGGTACGATCAAGGTAAGATACTAATTTTAAACATGTTTAGTTGTACCTACTTCATAATAATATAATTTATCCTCGAAGGGGTAGGCAGAGGTGCACATTACGGCACTTATTGCCACTGTACGATGTAACACCCACTTTTTACTATTTATCTTATGAGTTCCATGTAATAGGGGCCTATTGCCATATAACAGGCACGGTTTCAGACTCCGTGCTACTACTGAGAATTAAAAAAAAAACCAGTAATACTTTGCCCGACCCGGGAATCGAACCAGAGACCCCTTGCAAGGCAGTCGCACTTGCGACCACTCGGCCAAAGTGGTAATAATATAATAAATATGGGCAAATGGGTTAATTCCTAATAGCCTCGACAACCGCCTTAGGAGGCTGGCGTTAGGCGGATGGATGGCCTAATACTGTTTGTCTGTCAGTGTAGCGCCTAGCTTCACTGGCTGGCAGACGGACGGACAATCAAAAGTGCCTAATTAAGTTTTATTTAAAATAAATGCTTTGACTTTGAAGTTCTCCTTGAAACGGCGCGCATCGTGAAGGGGTTTCTGTCTCTAGAGCCCTAACACCGGTAGCTTGGACCATGTTCTCACTCGTTGATCGGCTCCTATTTTTATATTTTTAAAATTTTTTTTTTTGCTTTTTGTATGTATGAATAATAAATATATTGTTTAACTCGTCGAGTACCGGTTTTGCAGACACAATCATAGAACAATAGGCTGCGGTCACCGGTGACCGCTTGGTGTTTGACAGTTTAATGTTGAGTTATTTTTACAGGCGTAGTGGCGAGCTTACAGCGACACAAACTACTGTTTATTGAGACTCAAGATTCAGCTGAAACCAGTTTCGCTCTCATCAATTATATCAAGGTATAAATGTACAGCCGTACACTTGCGTTTCAGAAGTGGTTGATTGATATATTTGCATTTTGTACATAAGTTATTTTGGTTGTGACCTATTATTACAAAAACATTACGCCTTTTATCTCCAAAGGGGTAGGCAGAGGAGCTCATTACGGCACTTAATGCGACTGTATAGTGTAACACCCACTTTTTACCATTTATGTTGAGTTCCGAGTAATAGGGGGTGAGCCTATTGCACTATACCGGGCACAATTCCAGACTCCGTGCTACTACTGAGAATTTATTAAAAAATACCCAGTAATATTTTGCTCGACCCGGGATTCGAACCCGAGACCGAGCCCGGACCAGCTCGGCAGTGCAGTGACGTAGGGTCATCCCCCAGGCGTGCGAGAGCGGTCGCGGCGCCGTGTTGCTGTCGGTGGCGCGCGGCAAGGTGTCGGAGGGAGTCGACTTCGACCACCATCTCGGCCGCGCCGTGCTCATGTTCGGCATACCATACGTCTTCACGCAGAGCCGGATACTCAAGGCGCGACTCGACTATCTCAGGGACCAGTTCCAGGTAACTTACATTGATCCATCAATTCTGACTGTGTACCTTGTTCAGTAGTATCGAAACTATGCTCATTTACGTGGGCGCTTTAGAAATACATACAATACAACGCACCTGACTCCTCTGGTGTTGCGGGTGTCCATGGGCGGCGCTGATCGCTTACCATCAGGTGATCCGTCTGCTCGTTTGCCTCCTATTCCATAAAAAAAACTGCACCAGAAGTTGGGAAAAGTAATAAAGATTCCGTAAGAAATCATCATCATCATCATATCAGCCACAAGACGTCCACTACTGGACTTGAGCCTCCCCCAATGACCGCAAGAAGTCTAATGTTTTGCTGGTGCATTATTATTATCTTTCCACTGATATCCAAAAATATTACTTCTATTAAAATTGGAGGGAAGTTCAACTTTTTTTCATCCTTCTTCTATGGTATCTTTTGATTTACTCTAAAGACTTACAAGACTGATTCTCTCACATCATAATCATCTTGTTTCAGATCCGTGAGAATGACTTCCTAACATTCGACGCGATGCGTCACGCTGCGCAGTGCGTCGGTCGAGCGTTGCGGTAAGTTAATATTATAGAGTAATTTAATAGCTGTATAGAATTTCAAACGTTGTATGAATAAATACTTTTAAGACATCTAGGAAAAACAATGTGCTAAATTACGTTGTCATTCTGTTCTTTTTTCGTTTTTGCGTGATCAATGGATCCTCATATATATATTGATGGATATCGCCATTGATATCCATCAATAAGATCTGTGATGTCTCGGTTCTTTCAGGGCTCGTAAGCAAAAATGTGCGAGTTCCCTATACGCATCGCAAGAACTTGCGAATTGATTCGCATCGCGCATCAAAATCTTATCTTCCCAGAATCTTCTTTGTTTCTTTTTCCAGTATCTCATAAGTAATCATTCTCATTGTATTCATCTCATGCTTGTTATGTGTCGTCCTTTGTAATATTGTCTGTGTGGTGTAGGTACATGAAATTATAAATAAGTAATAACAGAAGGGCACACTTCTTTTTACGATCCATGTCACGACCTAGTTTTCAATTAAAAATACGTTTAGTACGGTTGACGGTCGTCGAAGGAATGGTCACCCTGGGAGACGCCTTGTCGCACGAAATCGCATCGCAGCAATTCGGGTCGTAATTTTCTGGGTTTCGAATTCGCATTGCATTGAAGTTTTGTGTACGAGCCGTCATTCTGAACTATCGAACTTATTTCCATTTCACATTATTCATTTGTTTCCTGTTAAGTTACTAGTTTTGTACGAATATTTAGTCTCATATTTGTACACTTTCAGAGGGAAGACGGACTACGGTATAATGATATTCGCGGACAAGCGGTTCAGTCGCGCGGACAAGCGCACCAAGCTGCCTCGCTGGATACAGGAACATCTCAAGGATTCTCTCTGCAATCTTAGCACGGAGGAGGCTGTACAGGTAAGATTTGCAGACATTTTTCACTAGGACTGTCGATATTTCTAGTCTAAAACAACTATTCGTGAGTCCAAGAAAAATAGATTATTTTTTAATCTACATCTGTTGGGAATGGGTCTCTTCAATAAAAGTAGTGGACTGTATGTAAAAAACTGGTATATATAATCTATATAAATAAAAATCAATTTCCGTTCGTTAGTCTCGCTAAAACTCGAGAACGGGTGACCCGATTTGGCTAATTTTGGTCTTAAATTGTTCGTGGGAGTCTGGGGAAGGTTAAAAGGTGAGAAAAATAATTTTGGCGTACGTAGTTCGCCGGGTCAGCTAGTAATATTATATTAATTAAACGGCAAGCTTGTGTCCGCGTCGTCCGCGAACGATCCAAAAAAAGCAAAACAAGATGGTGGCCGTGCGCCGCTTCCGCTCGCGCCTGTCCTCCCCGCGCGCGCCTGTCCTCCCCGCGCGCGCCTGTCCTCCCCGCGCGCGCCTGTCCTCCCCGCGCGCGCCTCTCTCCCGGGAGCGGCCGGCTGCGTTCACGCGCAGACAACATCTTTATAATTTATGCTGTGTGATATGCGTTTTGACTTTTAAAGCTGGTTTTGCAAGTTCTAATATACAATTTAATTTGGTTCTATGTTTTAGCTGGTGTACTATTGGTAAATTGAATGGTTATTTTAATTTGTAATTTTTTATCCTCAGATATGCAAACGCTGGCTCCGTCAAATGGCGCAGCCGTTCACTCGCGAAGACCAGCTCGGCGTGTCCTTACTAACATTACAACAATTGCAATCGGAAGAACAGCAGGAAAAGATTGAGAAACAAGTCATACAGAAATGATGGACGGGATCCCACAGAATACCATTGGTGTTACCACAGATTTCTATCATGAAAAGAAATCTCTTGAGTTCTATTTACGAAGATATTGGAATCGGGCAATTATTGCTGTTAGAATTCAATGCAGTCTTCCGTCAATCAAATAATTCATTTTGAACGTGTACTTATCAACAGCTACATGCAGTAAAGAGCTAGGCGCTCTGCTGATCAATATTATTAGACCACGTTACGACTGTAAATAGTAATGCCGGCTTTCCGAGAATTTGATTTACCTGTTTTACAAATGACATTATGTTGTCTTATTGTGATAAATGAATAATGTTTCACACAATAAAGAATTATTTTTAAATGTTTGCGTATTTAAAAAGTGTCTCCCCCCATCCGCGTCGTGTCGTGTCTGTCTGTCCATTCACGATGTTATGAACTCAGAAATTACTGAACGGCTTTTTTGAAGCCACAATATGAATCTTGCGGAAGTTTTACTATATGAATATTTACACTCCACCCATGCCATGGGTAAACCTAATGCTAGGAATTTGTCGTGGAGAACCTAACGGGTAACCGGGACTCCGGCTCGACGTGCAGGAGAAGGAATGGGGTGGTTTTTAGTCAGTAAAAAAATGCTAGGAGTATGGAATAAAACAACATTAGTACTGCTTTGTAATTCTTTAATTACAAATATTTATTGTCAGAATAGAAGTGGGAAGTCAATGTGATCTAGGAGTTAGAACCAGAGTTGTCCCCCCTTACGCTCAGGTAAGGCATTCGAGGATGGCTCGTCTGTCAAACTTAAAGTTTGCCCAAGACGGCGCCACAAAGTTAAAGAAAACACTGTCGTCCGGAGATTCAACGTGATTATTAGTAGCTACCATAGGTGGACTATTGTCTTTCTGAACAGGAGAGAAATTCACGTTAGGACTTGCGTGAGCGTTCTGCGGCGTAAACAATTGACGCTTAGCTATCTTTCTATCTTTCCTAGAATTATTTTGATTAGGAGTATTTTTCGGCATATTCCCATGGCTATATCCATGGTTATGGATATTGCCATGGTTGTTGTTGTTACCATGCACATTAGCATTACCGCTATTATGATTGCCATGGTTCTTAAACGGTTTTGGCACAGAATTACAATTGAGTTGCTGATACTCTTGTATTTCATTCTGTAGCCCTTGAGAAATTTGCTTTCCTTTAGTTTTAGTTGCCGAGGTAGACTCCAAGTCTCCCATTGACTTATGGCGCGTCCTTCGAGTATTCGTGAACACTTTAGAGTTTCTTTCGGCGACCCAGCGACGCATACGTTTCACGAATGGTAGCACCATGAAGAACGCGTTAGGACTCACGCCCATCTTCAGTTTCGGCGTCATATCCTTCTTATTGGCCGGCAAATCAGCCAATGGGAACCATTCACACGCTTTAATTTCATTCCTTGTTCTCGGCTGGAATTTGGTATCTCTAGGAATGTATCCGATAATATAAAGGCGGACAATTTGTTCGTGTATAGTAGCTTCTATATAATCATTCTTATTTAGTAGTTTACTGATATCAAAACCAGTTTCTTCAAGGACCTGGAAAGGACAAACATGGTGATGAATAATTTTACAAATACTAAATGCTCAGCTATTAGTAATGACAGACTTTTATATTTTGACACTAATAAATTTATTAGTACTTTTGTTTTTACAAAGAAAGGTATACACCTTTCAAAGAAACGTCGACAAAAAATTGCTATGCTGATAGCATATAATATTAACACTGTTATAACTTGTATCCCTCTATTTAAAAGTGGTGACACTAAAGAAACTAGCAACTATAGGCCAGTGTCTGTTTTGCCGGTTCTCAGCAAAGTCTTTGAAAAGTTGATGCTGTCTCGGATGCTTCATCATTTTAATAAACATTCTATCTTTCACCCACAACAATACAGTTTCACTATAGGTCACACAACTGACGCCGGTGTCACTTTGGTTAAGGAAATATTTGGTGCTTGGGAGGAAGCACAGGATGCTATTGGTGTCTTTTGTGACCTCTCAAAAGCATTTGATTGCGTTGACCACGAGACGCTTTTGCTGAAATTAGATCACTACGGGATAAGAAACTCTGCGCTCCGTCTAATGAAATCTTATTTAGAAGAAAGACAGTTGAAGGTTCATGTTAACGGTATTCACTCGCAAGGCTCTGGGATGAATATGGGCGTTCCTCAAGGTTCAATATTGGGTCCCTTTCTCTTTTTAGTCTATATAAATGATCAACTCCATTCTTCGAGTGCATAATTGGTTCACCATTAACAATCTAGCACTGAATGAGAAAAAAACCAAATGTATCAAATTCAGTTTACCAAACGTGCGTAGTAACGATTGTGATATTGTTTTGAACGGTCAAAAATTAGAATTTGTCGACGAGACGGAATTTTTAGGCATTACGTTAGACAATAGGCTACAATGGGGTCCGCCTATAAAGGCGCTCTCGGGGAGATTGAGCTCAGCTGCTTTTGCAGTTAGACAGATTAGACAGCTCACGGACGTAGATACAGCAAGGCTTGTCTATTTTAGTTATTTCCACAGCATTATGTCGTACGGCATTTTGTTGTGGGGTCGAGCTGCAGAAATAGAATCAATATTTATTCTACAAAAGCGGGCTATCCGAGCAATATATAACTTATGCCGTTGCGAATCGCTGAGAGAATTGTTTAAACGATCAATATTTTGACGGTGCCCTGTCAATATATATATGAAAATATAATGTATGTAAGGAAAAATAGGCAATTGTTTGAAAAAAGATGCGATAGACACAATTTTAATACTAGAGGCAAAAATAAGTTAGCTATACCGCAATTCAGACTGTCCAAGGTACAGAAATCCTTTATGGGGTTTAGGTATTTAATGCTATAATAAAATACTAAATAACATACTAGATCTCAATGAAATTAAAGTTAAAACATATATTAAGCGCGAATTATGTTATCAAGCTTATTACACACTGACAAATTATCTTGAAGATAAGAATGCTTGGCAGCATATTGGTTCGGCTCCACTGGACAATATTCAAATGTAGTCAGTAGTTAGATTCCAATAGTAGGTAATATAATACATAATTTAATACTTTAATTCTAATGTAGACAATCTAGTTTCCATATGGCATCAAGCATTTCTTTCTTTATTGAAACAAAGAGTTTCCTTTTTCTTGTATAGAAGCACTATTTCTATGGATTGTCATTAAGTATAATTATGTGAGCACCATGTTAGACTATATTTTTTAATTTTAGTAAGGTTTGTAATGAGTACCTATAATGCGTCAAGCGTGTCTTTGTATTGTTCTCACATATAAATACAGTATGGGAATATGTATCGGAGACATTGTAGAACATACTTTTTAAAAAGAGTAACAAATGGAGTTTCTTGCTCGTTCTTCTCCATTCGAATCTACATTTTGGAATAAGCACCTAGCTTCACCTAGCTTCACTGACGGACTGACTGACAGACTATTGTTTATTTTGTATTTGTTGACATTTCAAAAGTACCAAATAATGGTTTAATTGAAATAAATGCTTTGACTTTGACTTTGAGTAGAGCTTTTCTCAGTATTTTCGCATGAGTAACCCGAACCTGAGATTTTTAGTTAATTTATTTATTTATTTTATTTATTTATTGTAAGAAGGCTTACAGACTAATGCATAGAAAATGATTTTATAAGAGTATAATATTGACAAATTGCCAATTACAAGCCTCCACATATAGATAAAAAGAAAAAAACAAGAAGGTACAAAAAAAAGAGTACAGAAGACAATTAATTACTAACAAATAATAATTGTTAGAAGAATAATTAGAAAAAGAAGTTAACCATCGAAGAAGTTTTGTGCGATTTGATGTCGCAAGGATGCTACACTGGTGCAGAATAAGTCGATGTCAAATTCCTTAGACAGTCTATTAAAATCAAGTGCACTCCTTAATAAAAAAACTTAAGGGCAATAATAGCATAGGAAGTTTCAACCAATGATTGAATAAAATATGACTGGTTTCCTCACCTCCCTAATAGCACATCTCCATGGCTCCTCACTCTCATTGATCTTCCCCTTAGGGAAGCCCCAGGAGGCCTTGGTCCAGTAGGACTGGACTAACAACACGTGCGTGAGATCTGTGTCCAACAAGATGGCGCCGTACGTGGGCACCATCTGTTTGTACTCGCGCCAGTTCTCCAACACTGAATCCAAACTGCTCACATGCTCTCGGAGTTGCGGGACGTGCTGCAAATAAGTGATAAGGAATATAATCAAAAATCACAACAGTGTTAAACTTTTACACCTACTATTGTGTCTCTCTGCATCACCCTAAGATTGAGTGTTAGAGAATGCCACTAGGCATTAAGTCCGCCATAATGCAAAAAGGCATTGTTAACAACATAACTGTAGAATTATTGTTGTATATCATAATTTAAGTAGTAGAAAAAGAAACATCCAAGTCCTGGGGCACCAGCCCCAGAGCCACGAGCCCAGTAAAAAAAGTTGATTAACTAATAATATACAAACAAATCTGTTTAGATAAAAGCATCTGATCTAGAATGATCTAGGAATCGCGATGCTTTCATAAAAAATTGTAATTTAATTTCTTTTCTAAAATAATTATTTTAGGTAGACTACACACATATAATACAAAGAAATAGTTTTTACAATCTTAAACTGTCAAACACCAAGCGGTCACCGGTGACCACAAGCTATTGTTCTATAATGACGGTACTCAACGAGTTAAACAAGTAATAAATAAGTTGATTCATATTTCACAAAACACACTAACAACTAACAACACATGACAATGGCTGATTCATTACTTCTCATTTTCAATGCACATCATTTATTTTGTAAATGTGGCAATGAATGGAAATGTTATAACAATCTAACATTAAATGAGGTACTTACTTGAAAAATATGTGCCGCAAACTCTCTAATACCACAGGGATGTAGTCGGTTGGTTTCATCCGTACAATAATAATCTAAATAAAACCAGTGCGCCAACTCTATTTGGAAGCAAATTCGCACCAGATTACCACGGTCCTCGTGTGGCAGATTTATTATAAAACGGCTGAAAATAGATGCATGGCATGATAAGACAAAGAAACATTCAAACTGGTTTTTTTATTACAAGTTTTCTTTATAACTTTCTATTTGTTGTTTTAATGTTGAGAAAGTTGTCAAACTTTGGCATACCCTGGTTGAGGTCACTTTCTTACTTCCATCACAGAATTATGATACTCTACCTAAATTTTTGTTATAGTAAATAATGATTTGATTGTGAAATTTTAGCTCTCAAAGTTGTTGGAACTTTGTCAAGAACAAATGCGACTAATACCTACATCTATTGTTGTTAAAATCTGTTAACAATTACTGTTTTCTCTCAAATGCATCGTTATTAAACTTGGTTATGGATTATTATCATTAATACAACGTAAATAACCACATGCTGTTTACAGTTTCACACTATTTTGGTCGTAAAAAAACAACCTACCTGCATAAGTCATCTAAAATATCGATGGGTATAGAATGTTCGCCTTGATGTGCGTAACCAGAAGTTGACCCCATCTTAATTGTGTATATTTAACGATTTTACCGTATTTTTAGTAAAAAATAAACAATGGAAAATTTTAGATTAAGTTACTGCTTTTCTTTTGTATTGTAAAATCAATCCACAGATAATGAAAGCCGAAATGAAATAAACAGAAAATAACAACTGTAACGTTCCAGAGCTTGAACAACCACAGAGTTCACATCTGAAGCATACGATAAAGGATTTTTAATAGAAAATAGATGTATCCGAACAAAACCGAAAACGTCATTTGTTTTTGACGTTAGAGTTGTGAGATGTCATCATTTGCAAAATATCAATACAATACACTTACAGCTGGGAACTCGTAAGATTTTTAATAAATTGGTTTTAACTCCAATATATGGTAATTAGATACCAAAATGGATATTACGCCATTATTTAGAGCATATATAAAAACTGTGAAGACTCGGAATAAGGCCTTTGGCATACAAAGCCCAACGAGCGATGATAAACAGCGTATTCTTCGAACTAAGCCAAAAACGGCTTTCATGATAACTGCGAAAGACATAACTTCACAAATTACTAGATTACGAGACTTTTTACTAGAGCATCGTGAAAAATACTTGAGCTTCTACGACAATGTGGTTGCTGAAGAAATGACGGATGCAGAGAGGGATCAAATAGATACAGGAGCGCAAAGGATAATCAATACATGCTCTCACTTGCTAAAGGAGTTTAGGAATGATAACCGAAAGGTAACAGCAGCCCCTCAGATGAAAGAATACATGGAAGCTGTGGCCGACCTCATAGATATGTACTTGAAAGCTGTTTGTAAGATTCACAGCGAGCTCAAAGCTCTACGGGTAAAACGAACTCTAGTCATGCGAAAACTATCGCGGTTGGAGCTTCCACAAACTAAATCGACTATTCCAAACCCCTTTATCATGGGTAAAGTAGCAGAGAAAGATATTGATAAAGTTTTAGATAAAGACATCGAAGAAGTGGAGGAACCTGACACAGTGAAGAAAATGGATCTCTGTGAAAATGATGTCGCAGTATTGGCTGATGAAGAACTTAGTGCTGAAGAGCTCCAGATGTTTGAGTCGGAGAATGTGCAACTCTTGAATGAGCTGAACAGCATGACTGAGGAAGTTAGGGCGATAGAAAGCAAAGTCCTACACATTGCTGAATTACAGGAAATATTTACTGAAAAGGTGATTTGAACATTCTCTCACTGCTTACTACAAGTCAAACAATTTAGTTTCTGTTATTTTGAACATAACTGTAATTAAAATATTTTTTTCAGGTATTACAACAAGAACAGGACATAGACAGGATATCTAACACCGTAGTTGGCTCTACAGAGAATGTAAAGGATGCCAATGAACAAATAAAGCAGGCTATACAACGAAATGCGGGACTTAGGGTTTATGTACTATTCTTCTTATTAGTTATGTCATTCAGCTTATTGTTCTTAGATTGGTATAATGATTAAATAATAATTATGTATTTATTTAGATGTTGTTTTGCATACTACCCTATTTCTGATAGAATACACTATTAAAGCTTCAGTAAAATAGTCTAAGTGGTGCAAAAGTAATAAGTAATACCTTTGCAGACTTTTATACCTCTGCACAGCCTTACGCTACAAAAGGCTTAGAACAGTTCAAGAAATTCTCAAAAATAGGTTTTAATAGGAAAGAACGTATTCTTTTTAAGAGGCCAGCAACGCTACTGTGGCTCCTCTGGTGTACATGTGTCCATGGGCGGTGCTGATCGCTTATCATCCGGTGGTCTACTCGTTTGCCTCCTATTCCTTAAAAAAAACATTCAATTTCTAATAATCATGAGAGCAATGTAACGAGACTGAGCTTATTGCCATAGCATACTCTTTAGTAGTTTTGCTACTGGCCGCTCCTAATACCTCACAATCAAGCCCAAAGTAGTCCTACTTCACATACTTGCGACCACTCGACCGAAGCCATCGCATCCAAGTCGGAAAAGTATTACTTATTGAAAATAATGATTTTCAGAACTTTTTTTTAACAATTATGCTTGCTATTGGAAATTAATCTCCATACAAAATTATTTTACGTTCTGAAACCGAAATAGTCACTAACATGAAATGAAACACTAATTTTATTGGTGAATGTTTCTAAACTAATAAGAAACGTCAAAGTAGTAGACAATAATTTTCATACATTTGAATTAATTTTGTTTATTTTTAAATTGTGTTTTATCAATAAAATATAGTTTCCTTCTTAGTTATTGCGGAGTTAAGTTGTTTTGTGTTCTGAATTCTTTTCTAGTTCTTGTTTTGCGTTCCGCTCCATGTCACTCAGATTTCTACGTAAAATTCGAGTTTTCTTCAAGAGTAAACCGCCGAAGCAAAATTGGTCAGAAACTTCCGGTCATAGTTATTGTACCATTGAAGGTGAAAAAATGGACGCAGTTAAAGCTATGAAACGCCTGGGTTACGCCTTCAACAGTGGTAAACATTTTTATCTTTACTTGATTACGAGGTTCGAAAGGTGAAAGATACCCATACTAGATACCTATACACACTGTTTTCTTGTTTATGAATGGTAGTCATAAATTTATCAACTGTAATAGCGTAACAATGTTCATACACAAACCGTTCACATCTGTTTTATGTTAATTTGTAGAAGGCCAGTTGCGGAAAGTTGGTGTTGATGGACAAGTAACAGAGGAACCATTTCAATTCAATGTTAGTAACCAGCACCAAGAGTGTCAGGCTCACTATGAGGAGCTGGGCAGTGCAGTCACTGAGTATGTGTATCATTTGATGGAAACAGAAAGGAACCTGACCAGGTTGCCAGTCCCGAAAGACTCCAATAAAGGAACATTCATCTTTGTATCCAAGGAATATGATCAGAAAGATGTTTTAGTCATACTCATTCATGGATCTGGTGCTGTAAGAGCTGGACAATGGGCTAGATCGTAAGTTTACTAACTTAAAATATATCTCACCTTTATTTTTATACAATTAACTTTAATTCAATACAAAACTCTCTATTCCAGTCTCATCATCAATGATAACTTGGACATGGGGACCCAGCTACCATACATTAAAAATGCCCAAGATAAAGGCTATGGGGTAATGGTGCTAAATCCAAATGACAACTGTTTACCGAATGGCCAGAAAATCCCAAACAGTAGTTCTGGTGAAGAGCATACTAATTATGTCTGGAATAATTATGTGAAGAATACGAAAGCAACGAAAATAGCAATAGTAGCTCATAGTTATGGAGGAGTACTCACTGTGACATTGGCTGATCAGCTCAAGAGTGAATTTGAGAAGAGAGTGAAGGCAATTGCATTTACAGACTCAGTACATGTGTACTCTAATATAGAAATAACTAAGTTTATGAAAGAGGTAAGTTAATTTATCTATAGTTTGGTCTGATATGGTCTTCTTAGTCTTGATACTTCCTTTTTTCTTCCTTAGGCCATCAAAATGTCCTATTTTCCCAGCTAAACTTATTATTGTTTACAGGCCGCTAGAAACTGGATATCAAGTCAGTCTCCATTGGACACACCAATGAACACTCCAGATTATGACATCCCTCGTGTTTCAGCCGGTAAGTTACTTTTTTTTATGGATCATAGAGAATGTTTTGCAAATATGTAAACTCTTTTTACTTTTCACAGGCCATCAGAAGCATGAAATGACATCATATTCCTGTATGGAGTCTGTGTTCAAGTTTATTGATGAGAAAGTTTCTCTATAATGTTTTGTACGCACAATGTATAATTTACTGTTGTTATATGTATAAGTGAACATTTCAATAATGTAGCATTTAAATAAGAATATACTTTATTTTATGGTAAAATATCTTTATTTCCTATATACAAAAAATGGCTGCAGCCAAATAAATACAAGTTTATTTCTTCTTTCCTTTGTAGCAGTTTTTCATCCAGTACTTTAGATCTTGCTTGTTTGCTCTTACACCTAATACAGCTGACTTTGAGTTCACATCTCTCGCAGCAAAGGGTGAGAACCCGGCTGTGTAATCAGGGTCCATAGCATTAGTCTTATTTCTGGCCAACTTTGTAGCAAATCTCTTATGGATATGCTGGTCTTCAGTCAAGATTGGATACTGGAAGTGTTGACCACCTCTTGGTGTAGGAAGACTGAACTTCTTACCCCGAGCTGTAAGTGGTTTCCGACCATTGATGTGAATGTGCTGTACACCATCGTCATCAATACTCACGCCAACCTTCTTCAGTGTGGAGTGTCCACATTTAGGGCAAAACACTTTGGTCATCACACTTGTGGTTTTGAAGCATGTTGTGCATCTGAAGATGAATGTGCGTAAATGTTTGATGATCCTTCCATCAACTGAGGTCACATTGAGTCCTATTTGTTTAAGAACATTCTGCATAGCGAAGTCAGATGTTGTACAAGCCACTTCAACAGACTTGTCTTCAAACTCTCCGAGCTCCATTTCTTTCTTTTTCTCTGCAACATTGCCAGGTGTGATCCAGTCTCCACCATCACTGTCGCTGTCCGAGTCCTCCTCACTCTCAGACTGCTCTTCCTCTTCATTAACCTTAACAATGATTTCATCTACATTTTCCTCTTTAATGTCCATATTTTTTATTTGTTCAGCAATTTCTTCTGCTTCCATCTCCTCATCATCATTGCCATTGTCTTCACTACTTGCAATGTTATCTGTTTGAGGAACTATTTTGTCTACAGTGTTAACTTCGCCTGTTTCTCCATCTGTCTTCTCTGACGGTTCCCCAGTTTCTTGGTTGATCTTTTCTGAATCATCTGCAGAATTTCCATTCGAGTTGTAGTTGGCTAAACCAGTTACTTTGACAACTTTCTGTGTTGTTGGTTCAGTTTTGAGATGATCAGTACCCACTTTTTCTTTCTCCAACTGATAAGTTAGTGCCATTACCTTTATATCTGTTGCCGAGAGACTGCGGTAGTCGCCGGTCTTTTTGGAGAAATCAGTCACAAATTTAATGTTCTCAGTGAAGACATCTTTGACGATTAGGTCATACGGTAGCACTACGAGTTTTCTGCGTTGTCTGTCGTTAGTAATTTCATCAATAACCTCTTGCACTGTGTAAACATTTTCAGCGATATCTTGTAAACTAGCTGCCTTTATAAATGCGGTTGTGTCCACCACTAAATGCTTAATATTCTTCGACATCTTGTTGTATTACATTAGAAAATCACACTCAATAAAACGTTTCTCATGTAATTTCTTGCCTTCACGTGCTCGATGCTCGTGTTAATTATTTTGGCAATATTGACAAACGTCAAGCAAGGCTCAAGCCGTAGACAGAGAATATAGGTAGACAAGTCCTCAGCGTATGCAGTATGAGATAGCGATAGTTTGACATAAGTACGTTACTACAGCTATGTGTGATTAATATTGCCATACTTAAATATTTACCCCATCGTGTGGGTAATCTAGTACTTTATTCGTTACGTACGAGTCATTCAATTAATAAAATAGTCATTACACTTTCAAGGGGCGGGGTATTTATAACATTTTGATGTTTTTTTTTAAATGGGTTAAAATCATCAAATGGCTTCTCTCGCCCTTGGGTGGAGCGAGAGGGAGTGTCAGACTCTTACTGACTAAAAAATCCCACTCCGTTCCTTCTTGCCTGTGGTACTGGGGTCAGAGCATGCCCTTTCAGATTCGCCCCAGTCCCCAGTAGGCTTCGGCCCTTTGGGCCCGTACTAATTGCTGCCAACTCTATGAGACGCGCGGGAACAGTGCACGCCATAGACGACTTGGGCTTGGTCCGGATCACTACCAGACGGTCAGGCGGCGAGCTACCCATTGCTCTCTACCCGCAAGCTCGCGCTATGGAGGTCGGAAATCGGGATCGGGATCCCCGGCGACGGTCGCGTCTGAGACGCAAACGCCGTTATCTCAAGCGCTTGACTTCCTCCTTTGCTAGCATTACTGCTTCGCAGAAGGACGCGACCGCCTGCCACCCCTCCTCAGGCCCAGGGCCCGGCGCGAGAGATCACCGCCGCCAATCGCCCCCACGAGGACACGACGATGTTCGTCCCAAGCGGGACACACCTCCACGGTGTGCTCCAACGTGTTCTTTGGGTGGTCAGCGCAGTACCGACACCCGGACGTCACCTCCACCTTCACCCGCAGCAGGTACCTCCCAAACTTGCCGTGTCCGGTGAGAACCTGAGTCATGCGGAAGGTAAGGACGCCGTAAGGTCTTTCCAATCACGCCTCAAAGAGGGGAACGTTTTGATATATACTTGATAGGAAATAAAACATCAGTTTCATGCATTTTTGTATGAAACAGGTAATTTTTATTTTCACATTTCAGGTTACTCTCATAGCAAAACTTTATAATCAAGTGCTGTAAGATTATTAGTTAACAGTACTGTGGAAAATAAAACAGCACTCGAGCGAATACTGAATGCGGCCAGGGTGAAGATGAAACGTGAAAACAAATGAATTGTAATTGTAATTTTAATATATTTCAGCTCAATAGTATAGTTAGACAAATCATAATTAACACATTTATTTACGCGCTTTGTCACAGGCCCTGAAAGAATTCAGTTCGCGCGCGTATTATAAATGTGGCATAATTTTAGAAGCAAATAAAAATAATTGTGTATAAATGATAGTTTAATCAAAACTTTGAATAACAAAATACATAATAAAATAGAAATACAGAAGATATACATAATACAATAATTCTTAAGCCTTGTTTAGGGAGGCGTCAAGCGTTTTTCCGTTTATGGATCCACCGTTATATGATTACTGACCTTTAAATAAAACTAATTTATTATAAAAATTTCTGACCTTATCAGTTTTTTCTGAAAGCTTTTTAGTTGCATAATGAATACGAACTTTGAAATATTTCAAACTAATAGACTTAATTAAGAGCGAATAGTGACAGTCAAGGAAAGTTTGGCTGTTAAAATGTGATATTTTAAAAAATAATGTTAAGCCCAAACAACGTCTAAGACTTTCTTGCATGAGCACAATAAGAACATTTTTTTTATTTAGACCTCGATTTTTACGAAATATTATCTCACAAATTTCACAAATTTTTACAACATCTTTTGAGGGGTAACATAATCCACCTTTGTCTTTTTGTAACTGTAGACTAGCATATTTAGTATCTGATATAATAGCAGACACACATTCCTCGCACGAAAGCTCTTTTTTCAGTTTGCTTACGACAAATCCAGCAATATATACTATAACATGTTTAGAAAATTCCGTCAATAGACTTGGATCAGTTAAGTAATCGTGATCCTTCATTAAAACTTCATCAAAATATTCTGAATTACTACTTTCGGCGACATTATCAATCATTATATTTTTTTCTGACGTTTTGTTAATTGCTATTTCTGGTTTGGTCAATGTTAAAATATTTATATGTTGTAACGGTATACAATTTCCTGACGTAATGTGTTTCATTTCCCCATGAACTAACATTCTTTTAAATGCCGACTTTAATTGTCTAGCAGAAGGGTTGTTGTTAAACCCTCCTTTGGCTCTAATGGCACTAAAAAAATACTCCAAGTGATCTTGACTTAGTTTGTAAGTGCTTAAAAACTGAAGGTTATTATTTATCACTTGAGTTTCGTACAAATTAATTACACTTTTAATACAAATTAGAAAGCCTAAAAATCCGGTTTTTCTATTTGAAGACATTATATTTCTGTCTCCTAATTTTAAATTGTTCAAATATAAAATCATTTCATCTAAAAATGGTTTGATGTGCGAAAAATTATTGACAGATAGTGGTTTTTTGTATGAATATGCTTTCAGATTCCTTGAATTCATTACGTCAAATAGATTATTAATTTTTTGAATAAAATCAACAGTACCAGCAGAGTTCTTAAATTCGTCAATATTGAGTTCTATATTACAAAATTGAATAGCATTTGCAACGGATTCACTCATTACTTGGGCTGCCAACTTGACCTTCATGATTTGTTTGTAAAAATTTATGTGTGATTTATTTAATTTGTTACCTAAATGCAAACCTTCGTTGTCTTGGAGCTCTACCAGTAATTTTACGTATTCCCATGACACAACACGACCTTGTGAGTCTGTTATTGGACCCTTTTCTCCTAAGGTATTCCTAACTAACTTCAGCATGTGTGAAGGGTCGGGAAATATAACAATATTATTATTGCCGACGGTGAAGGAAGGATCAATGTTATCACCGTCTAATTTACAGCCTAAAACTTTGGCCATAGAAAAATTTGTCGGGCATCCATCGAAAGTTAGTGAGATAATTTCAATACCGCAATCCTGAGTTAATATTTCGATACAATTTTTTACTAAACTGGCCTTTTGTTCAGCGCTTATCCCATCGATTAAAAAATATCCTAAAGGTATTTTCCAGGATCCATTTACACACGTTAGCATAAAAATTAACGCATCTTTAGCTAATTGATCGTTATTAACGTTATTTCCAAAATTAACAAATCCTATGCAATCTTTGCCATCAAAATCTAAACCTTTTCTAATTGCCATTTCATCAAAACTTAGGGCGCATATTGTTTTGTGTGACGTGTTTTTTTTTGTATTTATTTCATGTAAAAATTTGACAGCTTTTATAGATTCTGTGGAAAAACCAGGATTTCCATCGATGCATTGGTACCATCGCGATAGTGTACGCGGATGAGGTAAGCAAGTGTTAAATTGTTTCCTAACAAAGCTGTAAGCTTTGGGACTGATGTAGTGGAGACTTAAGGCAAATTTCCGCAGTTCAGGCGAGTATTTCCGTTCAGCTATATTTTTACACAAAAACCTTTTTAAGAAATCTCGATTGGTTGCATCGATCGAAGACAGCAGGTCAGCAGCTTCCTGGTTGATTAATGAACGAGTTTTTAATTCCTCAATTATAGTAGATTGTTCAGCAGTTTTCTTTTGCAAACGCCAGGTCTTAGATCTTAAAGCTGCTAATTTCTTCCTTCTATTATCACTTAATATTGTCTTCTTTTTCAATTTACTAATTAACTTCTTTTTACGAGGAGTCATCTCAAGTTCCGGCGCTGCCACTATAGGTAATATTTCTTGCGTCTGAAATATAACAAAAAATAACAACAAATACGTATTTACAACTACCTTAAATATTAAATATGATAAAATATCTCTACATCTTTAACGATTTAAATAACATGGTAACGTAATGTTGAACTCGTCGAATACCGTCATTATAGACACAATTAAAGAACAATAGGTTGCGGTCACCGGTGACCGCTTGGTGTTTGACAGTTTAAGTAGATAAACGGCTACACATACACAGCTAAAACAGCAGGAATTGCGCAGTATAAGATTTACAAGATTTAGTTTCCATAATAAAGACTGAACAAGAATAAACTCACCATAGTACTTTCTATTTCTACTTCCATAGCAACTTCTAATGGTAAAGATAGGTGACCATGACTATCCGTAATGGATGAACCGTCAAGCTGAAAAATATGATTATAGTTTTAAATTTGTAATATTTATCACCCAAATAAATAAGTACCTATACATAAAATACTGAATATACGACTTTTAGATTTAAAAAAAAAATTTAAATAAGTAAGTACCAAATAATCCTTTGCTTGCACATCAACCCCCAAAGTATCACATTTAGAGGTACTCGGTTGATCTAAAGCCGGTTGGACCTGAAATTTGAAACAAAAAGGACACGAATGTCCGATTAACTGCTAAAATAATCAATATTTAATGTTTTTTCAAATAAGTTAGTTTTACAGTATCTGCTTTACGTTGTTTGGTAGCTTAATAATCTATCTATACATATAAATAAAATTGGAGCGTCTTTTTGTAATATTGAAATAACTGAACTAATATTGAATAAACTTTTTACTACCTGCACATGAATATATATACGGTAAATAAACCAAGATATCATTTTTTACAATTTTTGTCTGCTTGTCCGGGCTAATCTCTGAAATAGCTGGACCGATTTTGACGGGACTTTTTTGTTGGCAGATAGCTGATTAATAAGGAGTAACATAGGCCACTTTCATTTTAGAAAATATAAATTAAAAATCCTGTAGTCCACGCTAACAAGGTAGCGGGCACAGCTAGTTAGGTTTATGTATATTCCATTTAAATTAATTCCATGTAGCTCAACTTTCCATTATACATTTCTTAGACTATAATTAATTCATTAAATTACTATTAATATATATTCCATGTAATAATATTAAAAAAGTCATCAGTAATAACAACAAATAATGTTTAAAATATTATTTCTGTGTCACAAGAAATAAAGTCACAACAAATGTTTAAGTATCAAAGTTAATTAGGTATACGTGTAAATCAAATTGTGGTGTATAATAAATTTACTTTACCTGAATGAAAAGAGTCGGTATCGAATGTGGATTTAAGTGAGTACTATTTAATTTCTGTCGAATGCAACTAGCTTCAAAATGTCGGGAGCAGATTCGGGAGTGACGACTTGGATGCCAGTTAATTCGCCCCGTGCACTCAGTCCACTTTTTTCTTAAAATTGGTTCATTCGGAAATCTAAAAGAAAAGTAAAAATTAAATGTGAGGTAAAAATAATTAAGTGCTGGTATCCCTGTCAAGGTATTATCCGACTATTAACAAATGACACGTAGTAACATAGATAACAACCTAACATAAAATGTCTCCCACTTTGGTCGGTTAGTACAAAAATCAAGTTAGGAATTTATTGTATTTTTAGATGAAATTATCAATAAATTTCGCTTAATATTGACACAAAATTGTCTTGAGTACAATATTTCTTTGATTTATTGGCTGTAATAGGTAAAAAATGCTACTTACCGATGAAAGGTTATGTTTGGTTGATTTCGTTCACTACGACTTTTACAGCCATTTATACAGCAATTCACCATCACTAGACACTAAATATTACCTTCTAAAATATCAATAAAGTCACAAATTACACAAAGTATGCGTTTCACAGTTTTTAACAACGAAAATATCTTGACACCACAGTTTGTTTGCCATCAATGACCAGTGATGCCAAACAACAAAAACCGATACGCAAATAGAGACAAAAAATTTATGCTATGTCCTGCTCACACATACACATTTTGCTAATCTGTCATCTCACCCTTGCAATTATTATTATTCAAAGAGCATGTCTACCTCTATTCTCTGTCTACGGCTCAAGCGGAAGAAAGAATGACATTAATGACAAGACAAAGACAAACAGGCTGTCAGTAACCATAGGTAAATAGTAAATGTAAATATATAACAAATCTTTGAAAACACTTTCGATCATTCCTTAATCTCTTTACTGAATATCTTTTCTGAAGAATTTCGCAACCATTAACCGATAATACACGGAAGTTTTTACAATTTGATGTACACAATAGTGCCTTGACACAGTAATTTTATGAAAAAAATGTATATAAATAAATATGGATAACTTAAAATGAACTAAAAGGAATGGTGAAAACTTAAAATAAAAAAAAATGTTGTGTGAATATGATTGATATTATTATGATTTCGTCAAGAATGTTGAAAAAAATATTGCTAAATAATTAATGAATGCTATAAATTGTACAAATGCTAACTCGAGAATGGAACACAGGACAAGATGACTTTATGTGTCAATAGTAATGTAGTAATTAATAGTTAGTTTTGTGTAGTCGACTAATGTAACAAAAGCGTTTAACAAAACTACTGAATTTTGAAGTAACTGTAGAGAATAAGATTTTTCACAATATTACGATCAATATAAAGTAATCCAAATCTCTTCTCCATATCATCACTAAAAATATTAGATTAATTTCGTATTTCAATAAAATATTTTATGTTAGTTATGCATATGTACGATTATCAAAATCGACTAATATCGCCTTTAATTATGCACGTGCTCCACCCTATCAAAAGCAAGAAATAAATATGGAATCGTAATCGTTTCGTTTTCTTTCATCTAAATAGTCCGTCGTTGATATTTATTTGCTTATGTAAACAGTATCTTGTATTAATTTATGTGTAATTCGTTGTGGATAGCTTATTTTAAGTGTTACAATGAGTTCTAAAAAGGGAAGACGTCATGGAAACAAACATTTTCCTATAGCTGAATCTGTGAGCATAGCACTGAAGATTCAGTTGGATAAGTTCATTAGTGATGAAAATGAGACTGAGCTTAAGTTTCCCACCTTCTTGTCTGCGCAAGAACGAGGATTCATCCACGAGACGGTTGCTAAACTCGGGCTGAAGTCGAAATCGCGCGGGAAAGGTATGTTATTGTTACAATGCGGTTGATTGTATTTTGATGAGACAAAATGTATTATTATATAAACATTTACATTTATTTATTTAAATAAGTCCTAATTTATTAGATAAACGATATATCTATAATTGTTATGTCTGTATTTCACATAATATGTAATATTTTACTTGCAATCTGTTATGAAATATTGAAGCATAAAAGTGGATTCCAATGAGAAACAGTTTGGAATTCACTTTTATTACTATATTATATTTAAAAAAATATTTTTAAAATGTTCCATTTAAAAATATTTTCTATAACTGGAATGTGTAAAATTTTTTATGTTAATCTAGATTTTAAATTGATCCATCACTAAAACTTATAGTAGGGAATTTACACTTTGCAAAAATAATTATTGTAAGTAATTTAAAATGGAATCTCATACACCATGTGGATATTCCACAAGAGAAATGCAAGGGTTGCATCTAAAACAAAATTGATTAATTGAGTAACATTTCATTCATTTACTATTTGTTGGACAACAATATCATTTCTACTTGTAAGAAACATTTTATTAGAACCTTTTTGTTAATATATCTAATCAATATTTATATGATTACACAAACATACCTAATGTAGATTTGCATATTATCTAACAACATGGTTTCATGTAAGTTTTCATTGAGACAAATTCATAATATTGTATACCATCTAATTAATTCAAATATACCCTTTTCCTGCCTAGGAAAACAGCAAATTGTGGTTTAAATATCTGAGAAATATTATTTTAATTCCCTTCAATTTAAGTAATCGAAACAAATAAAAAAAAGTATACTAAATTATGGTATTTAACAACACAACTCCACACATATTATAAATGACAAAACAGACCAATACACATTAAATCTCTTTTATTAACAGGTGTGAATCGCTACATAACTATATACAAGAGGATTGGCTCAACAATAATACAGAATGATGCCAAACTCATATTGGACTCCAACATGCGATGTACCATCAAGGAGTTGCTCAGTGCATTTCCCGTCACCAGTAAGGAGAAGGATGACCTTAGCAGCTGTCCGGAGAAGGAAAGAAGTCCGCAGCTCACACATAAGACCATGGGACAGCTGAATAATGGAGTTGCTCAGGTATGTTAGAACTTGTTTAAAAAGTCATGTTAGAGAATTACTATCTAAGTCTTTGTCATTTGCTCTTTGTTTTTAATGCATGTATTATACGTATAAACCTTCCTTAAGAATCACTATATCTGTTTAAAAAAACGCAACAAAATCTGTTGCGTAGTTTTAAAGATATAGATAGGCGAATAGCGACTTTGTTTGATACTATGTAGTGATAGAACTTAAATGCCCCTTTATAAGATATTAAGAATGTGTTAGTTTCATTTGCCTTATCTTAAAAGAAAAATGATGTATCAACAAACAATAATAATAAGAAATTTGTCTATGTTTTCTATGTCTTCTATATGTTTAAAATAAAATCATTATAATACTTTTAATTGTATCTTACATGCATCTAAATAATGTATGAAGAAAAAGGATATGGTAAGCAGTGTCCTATAATTTAGTATTACTATGTTTCATTATGCATATGCAGTTATCTTAAGATAAAATTCATATTTTTAAATTGCAACATTGTTCTACAACTGACTTGGAATAACAATTTGTTGTGACAGAAATATTACTTGTTCTATATGAGAATTAAACTTATGATGTGTTACTCAGAAGCCTGTCAACCCTGCCACTGTACCAACAATGTTGGCAAACGTTTTATAAATGTTAACATTTTACTATATGATTTCCAGGTACCCAACACACAGTACAATCCAGATCTGTTAAAGTTCAGAGAGAAGCTACCAGTGTATGAACAAAGGCAGGAGCTCATCAATGCAATACTACATAACCAGGTTTGTAATAAGTGGATGAAATAAAAACTTTCATTATAAGCAAAGAATTTATATCTGTCAGTGAAATGTTTGTTCCAAATTGTACCTATGTTATACTTGTATGGAAAAGAATGAGCAAGAAACGTCATTGTTTTTTGTAAATCATAACTTCACGCCTTTTATCCCTGAAGGGGTAGGCAGAGGTGCACATTACGGCACTTAATGCCACTAAAATGTAACACCCACTTTTCACTAATTTATGTTATGATTCCCATGTAATAAGGGGTGGGCGTAGCCATATACCGGGCACATTTCCAGACTCCGTGTTAGTACTGAGATTTTTAATCAACCCAGTAATACTTTGCCCGACACGGGAATCGAACACAAGACCCCTTGCCCAGCAGTCGCGCTTGCGACCACTCGGCCAATGAGCCAGTTTTTGTAAATAATATTTTAAAAAGTCAAATGCTTGCAAATTACTATAATTCCATTGCAACAAAATGGTTTTTCGTTTACAACCACGATTTTTCGAAGATTTAAAGTTTTGCGCGGTGCGGCTTGGGTCCTCTTGGGTTTCGACGCAGTATTTTCGAAATTCATAACAAGAGAACTCAGTTTACGAGTTGCGCCCTTTGTAAGGCGAAATAGTTTGACTGCACGGTTGGTGCGGTGGCTGGGCAACTGGCTGCCGTGCAACGTGTCGCGGGTTCGATTCCCGCACGAGACAACACTTTGTGTGATCCACAAATTGTTGTTTCGGGTCTGGGTGTCATTGTGTATGTGAACTTGTATGTTTGTAAACGCACCCACGACACAGGAGAAAATCCTAGTGTGGGGCAACGTTTT